CCCCCCCACCCTTGCATGTGAACTTGTGTCTGTGTCGTCCCACATTGTGATCATCATGAAGTTGTCACTCTTCCGTTGTCCCTGTGCTCCCCTCCTCAAACCCAATTTGATCCCTTCCCCCTTGTCCTTTTTAGGTCCCGAGTATCTCCTCCCTCCCCACTCTGCACCCCCGTCCTTCCACCACCACAACCACTACCAATACCCCCAGCACCCGCCCGCCTCCCCGGCCCTGCTGGTGCACACAGAGTGCCCCATGGACGACACCATGCATCAGTCTGTCTTACACATGCCACACCACCTGGGTACTGCTCCCTAGCTGCTACTCATCATATAGACTCATATACCATTGACTCTCCATGCTCTACATTTTTCCAGCCTTACCGTTACTTCCTTCACTTACACTACATTTATCCATGTTGTTTTGTTCCAATTGACTTGATTAAATGCACAACATTTAAAAATAAAATGGTTTTCCTTGGAACCAAATTAGCATTTAGCAAGTCCAACTTTGATTGAGCCTCAAAGAGTTGAGACAGCTTTCTTTTAATTAGCACTTCAGATCTTCTACACACACTTTCCATTTTTGTGTCTCCTTCCTGACCAGTACTCCCCTTCCCTTCCCATCGGTCTCCTGTTGCCCACTTGGTGGCGTTGTCCTCAAACAGTTCAACCTGACTTCATTTGGATGATGCATGTGACTCCTCTCTGTTTCCCAAAAGTGTTTCTATCCTTGATTCTGTTTGAGTGTCCACAGAACTGAGTATTTTGCTGCATTTGGGAAAAATGCACAGAGAGGATTTTGTCAACAACCGCTCGCACAAGTAAAGGACGGCATTGAACGTTCATTTCTTTTATGTATTACAGACGAGTATCTCAATTTAAAATACTTTTATAAAAGGTGTTGTGCATTTGTTGACTGAATCCCATTACTTCTTTAAAATGTATTATCATTTACTTTTTATAATTTACTGTCAGCTACAAATTAACATTTGACGTAATAATGTATTTTCACCCCGAACTCTCTCTGACCATGCAGACAGTAGTGAGTGTCTGGCTGATGACGTCAGCATAATTGCGGGTGGGACCTTGACTGGATGGCATGCTGACTCTGCCTTTGTCCTGTGGAGGAGGATTTTGGGTATCCTTGGAGATGTCAACTGCATCCGCTGCCCAAGAATCCATGCCAAGGTCTTCTACTGCCTTTATGAGCTCTGGCATAAGCTGGCCAAGGTAAAGCAGACAGGACCACAAACATAAAGCCTTGCATAGCTTGGTTCTCTTTTTTTACTTCCTGTCAGCTGTTGCAAAGACAAAACATGTCCAATAATTGAAAATCATGTTTATGATATGGTGTCTTTTTATTTGAGGTAATATTGTGGAATTTGAACACAGAAGCCTTTTTTATCCTTTACTTTCTCACATAAAGATTACTCCCACTGGTTTTGTTAATTGACTGAAATGACTTACAGATCCGGGACAACCTCGGGATTAGTGTGGACAACCAGTCGTCTCCTCCCCAGCCCGACTACATCCCTCCTCTTCGAATGCTGGCCTCCTGGCTCTTTAGGGTATCAACAACACACAGGCACAGCAGACAATATTCACAAAACAACAATTATGACAACAATAATGGAATACCTGCAGGCATAAAGAAAAAAAAGAAGTTTAGAGAACGTTTGGATATTACCATGTCCTTAATCCAAAGCATTCTCATTAATCATTATAGTTATTTCATTTTTTCTAACCTCATCTATATGTATTTATCATTTAAGTACAATATGTTGTATGTGTTTTCTTGGGGGAAGTGCCCTAATGCTCAGAAGGCAATTTGATTAGCAGCAACAAGTTATGAACAGGACAGGACAGACAGTGTGACTAAGAATGTTTTAATTAGCATTGCCTTGTCGACTGTATCATTAACAACAACAAAAATAGAACGTTATATGTGATATTCAAATAAAGAATTTACCTCATTAATAGAGACAAGCAACTGCAGTGTTTTCAAAATTGGACAAAATCGATATACATCTCGAATCCTCTCATCATAATAGATAACAGTTTTCAGCTCGTCATGATAATACTGACCTCATTATCCACCCCCCCCCCTTCCTTCTACAGTCCACCATGCTGCCATCTGAGTACAAGGCTGGGAAGCTGCAAGCCTTCAAGCTGATCTGTGAGATGATGACCCGGCACCAGGATGTTCTCCCCAACAGCGACTTCTTGGTGCACCTCTACCACACCATGCACAAAGGCATTACCAGCAACGACCAGGTACAGCCAGCAGGGGGCGCCCACAGTATGGCTGCCAGTTGTGCTTTTACTCTCCAGTAGATGGCAAACCAGTCAAACCCATGTGATGCATTTGCATTGGTCCTGTTATTAAAAACTATACAATTAAGGTTTGCATTCCAAATTTGGCTTCTACTTTTTCCTGTGTGAAATGATGTCGTATTCACCTGTTATTTGTTGGTGTAAATCAGGTAGCCCTTGGATTATTATCACAAAATATATGTCTTGTGCCAGACTGTACCTCCCAGGATTTAGGGGTCATATAGGTCCTGCAATTAAAGCTACTGTTCAGCGGTTGATTTTGAAAACAGCGTGCCAACCAGTGGTGATGAAGAATGCTTCAGTGTTTTGGCATCTTCCTCCTCCTTTAGCCACACCCTTCCTTGTATTTAAATCTGGCCCTGCTCCATTCCTCCCAGACGAAGCTGAGTGGAGATGAATGGAGTCCCCCCAAAACAAAGGACGGGGATAAAAGTGTGTGTGGGTGGGGGGGTGTTTTGGATGCAAGTGTGTTTGAGTATAAATGCCCTCCTGGCTTGGTTTCTATTGCGCCTTGGCAGTGCGACAAGCTTATTAGAATGTTTTCCATGTCGTTAAATAAGGTTTTGAGCCCCTGCCGCGTATACGTGATTAATTAAGGATTGACGTCTGTCGCGCTCCGTTGGACTGACACGTCGGCTAGGGGCCCGGAGTAGGCCGGCCTGCCTGTGTGTGTGTGTGTGTGTGTGTGTGTGTGTACGCAAGTGTGTGTGTGAAGGAGCGGGAGGGGAGCCTCGGGAACGTAGTGCAGTGTAGAGCAATGAGGGGGGCACATTGAGGGACGAGGCTACATTCTCCAGCTTTTGTTGTGGCTCTGTATAATGCGTCGGGGGGGCCAGAGCCAGGCTGGCCACTGAAGCATGCTCAAATTGGCCGGAGAAAAGAGTCCTCACGCCACACAATAGAGGACAGCCGCACGCCTGCTTAACATAAGAAAGTGGCTCTTACTCTCCCCCTCCTCTTTCCTCTCTGTCTTCACCCGAAACCCCCACCCAAATAAAATAAAAAAGCAGGAAAAAAACATATACATTTCCAAATCCGTCACGCACGTAAAAATATTTCTTTTTCATGCAATCTTATTTCAATTAGCTTGCATAAAAGTAGCCATCAGTACAGACTGCATCTTACATGATACTGCAAATAGTACGTTTAAAAAATGTTTTTGTTTTTGTCGTTATTCTCTGGTGTGTTCTGTACATGTGTATCTTAAAATATTACAGTCTACAGGTCCAGTATTATTTTGAGACTACCTGTCTATCAAGAAATAAAAAGGTGCCCGAAACAGCCTTTGTTTTATAGACAACAGGGGGAAGCCCAGTGTCAATCCTCAACATTAAATTCACCTAAGCTTAGAGAAATGACAGCTTCCTTTGGAGGGGCTCTGCCTCCATCTGACATCTGAGTGCCAGGGTCAATGCTATTGTCCTGGCTGTCATCCTCTGGTCAGGGTCTCACAAAGGCACGGCCAGAGCACAAAGGCAGTAATCTATCTAATAGGTCTACTGTCTGGACTGCAATAGTCAACGGCATTTTGTGTGAGGTATGCTCGTGTTTAGATAAAAAAATGATGTATTACATAATTATTTGTTGAGATGAATCATATTGATATATTCTTAACACACGAGATAATCTAGCTCAAACTAACATTTAACTCGCCAGCTATAGTGGAAGGACATACTTCCTCACCTGGGCTTTCAGACCAAATCTTTGTAAAGAGGGCCTATAATGCTCATTTTCAGGTTAATATTCATATTTTGTGCCTCTACCGTGACATGTTTACATTAGGGCTGTGCATCTTCACTGGTCTCACGATTGGATTACGATTTTCCTGTCTTCGATTCGATATCACGATGCATAACAATTCGTTGCATCCTCAATTTTCTATATTACTGCACATGGCTTCTTTTTCATCAATGAATACATGCAATAAGATAAATATTAACTCCCTTTTTATTATTTAGAAAGTGCGTCAGAAATCAATAACATAAATGTCTTGACATTAAATTATAAACCAAAGTAAATCAATTGTATAGGTCTAGCCTCCCTACATCTGTGTGTGAAGTTGTTCCATCCTCAAAAACGAATACTTCTGCAGTCTAGCTGCAGCTTCTAGCAACGGTCTTCTGTTAAAAAAAGATACTGAATGTCCTGAATGTGGCATCACACACAGGACTTGAGTCTGAACACAGCAGACAACAGGAGTATTTACAATAGCATATAAAAACAAAAATACTGCATGTTTGTGCACACTTATTCTCTGTTGTACTGTTACATTAACCCCATGGTTGTAGGAGATTAAGTTAGTTTCATATCTCAATCAGTGATTAAGTGAATAATAAAGTTTCTATCAGGTTACTATCAGCCTGTCACTCATTATTTTCAGGGGGGGCGGGGTTTGGAGGAACAGAGGAGACAGTGATCGCTGAAGCTTTTTCCTCCTACCTTCACAAACTTTACACNTCATATCTCAATCAGTGATTAAGTGAATAATAAAGTTTTGATCAGATTACTATCAGCCTGTCACTCAATATTTTCAGGGGGGGGCAGGTTTGGAGCAGCAGAGAGGAGAAGGTGATTGCGGAAGCTTTCCTCCTGCCTTCACAAACTTTACACACGTATTTATCATCTGAAAATAGCAAGAGGACATTCATACTCGATGTGTGTCTCTGAACCGCAGTGCGTGTCGCCGTGTGACTGATTCAGAGCGGGTCATTCTGCTGTTGGTTCTGGACTGGTGCTTGTTTTGGAGGATAAAGCAGACTGCTCCACTGTCACTTCTGTTCCCTGATCTCTGTGTCACCGACCGATTTGATATTCGTGTGACAGGACCTAACCTCCTCTAGGGGGGTCCAGGGGCATGCCCCCCTGGGAAGATTTTTTTTGAATGTTGAAGTTAAAAGCATCAATCTGGTGCACTTTGAGAGCAACATTAGGAGATCTATGGATACATCTCTCAACACCCATATGAAACAGAACTGTAAGCAGATTTGATTTTTCTTTATGGATATTTTACAAATCACTTCCCTTTCAAACT